GTCACGCACCGCCACCATTTGTTTTCACCATTGTGAAAGCAATAGGCCCTTACCCCGTTCGGGGCTCGGGCCTAAAAAAAAGGAATTTTTTTTTTAACGTCTCGAGCAAAAACAATATAGGTTTCAATGGCATGTGATACATCATTTTAAAGCTTTTGAGTTTACGCACGCAACCGTCACATTTTGGTGAGTGACGGGCGCTGACGCGTCCGTCACGCACCGCCACCATTTGTTTTCACCATTGTGAAAGCAATAGGCCCTTACCCCGTTCGGGGCTCGGGCCTAATTAAAGCCGCAAGCGGCGTCGAACGGCCCTCGCCGCACCGCGCGACTCCCCCGCACGCGCACCACCCCGTGACAAGCCACCCCGCACCACGCCGCCCTGCACCACGCCGTCCCCCATCACGCCGCCCCGCACCAAGCCACAACGCGCCGCTCCACAACGCCCCGCACTACGCCGCACCACACCGTACCACGCAGCACCGCCCAAAGGAGGTGGCGCCGCCGTGTGATGATTTGTTTCCATAGCCACAGAAGATTGTTAGTCAAATTGTAATGAATATGATAAGTAGAGCTGGTTTGGCTCCCCATGTAAACTTTGACTCAGTCTGTAGGGGGCGCTAATGGGCCAATTTAAAATACTTCACTTTCACCTGACCTAAACCCTGGAGTTGAACAATGGATTCAAGTTTGATGCAAATCAGACTTTGTATGTGCAAACGGGAAAAAAATTAATGTTGTCAAAAACGGCAGAAAAAAACTTCCCATTTTGCCGCTCCGCTGCTCAAACAACGTTTCACTGATCAAAATTCCCTGAGGTCATTTTGAAGATAAATGTGTTGAGATCATTTGGAGCAATTTTGAGGCCAATCGGTGAAACGGTCGAGGAGGAGTCGCTTTCCAACCGACGTTTATGAAAATGATTGGTTTTCATTTTTCCATTTTGCAATGACATTTATGGGCTTCCTGTTTGTCAGAAGGATTAGCCATAATAACATTTTACCCATGTCTTGACTTGAGGAACATGTGTTCCAAATTACATGGCTCTACGACAATTTTGACCTTGAACCCCTCCCATAGGCATTTTTAAATTGGCTGTTGTAGGTGGCGCTATAGAGCCAATTTCAAAATTTTTACTTTCAAATGACCTAGACCCAAGAGTTGAACCATGGATTCAAGTTTTGTGCAAATCAGACTTTGTTTGTGCAAACGGAAGCAATTTTTCTATTGTCAAAAACTGAAAAAAAATACGCCACTTTTTGGTGCTCCGCTGCTCAAACAACGTTTCACTGATCAAAATTCCCTGAAGTCATTATGATGGTACATGTGTTGAGATGATGTGGAGCGCTTTTGAGGCGAATCGGTGAAACGGCCGAGGCTGGTTTGATGTTTGTGTGAGGTGTATAATTACAATGAATGGGGAACGTTTCTCGTTGCCACGGCAACAGGGTAAAAAATAAGCCTTGGACCCCATTGACTTTTTGAATCAAGAGGGCAAAACAGATGTATGTGCAAAATTTCAAACATTTTGAAAAAACTAAATTTGAAAATGCCCATCTAAAACTTTGAAATAGTCTGTAGGGGGCGCTAATGAGTCAACTGGAATCATTTAACTTTCAAATGACCTAAACCCTAGAGGTGAACAATGTATTCAAGTTTTGTGCAAATCAGACTTTGTTTGTGCAAACGGGAGCAAATTTAATGTTGTCAAAAACGGCCAAAAAAAGGTCACATTTTGCCACTCCGCTGCTCAAACAATGTTTCACTGATCAAAAATCCCTGAGGTCATTTTGAAGGTACATGTGTTGAGATGATGTGGAGCAATTTTGAGGCGAATCGGTGAAACGGCCGAGGAGGAGTCGCTTTCCAACCGACATGTATGAAAATGATTATTTTTCATTTTTCCATTTTGCAGTGAAATTTATGGGCTTCCTGTTTGTCAGAAGGCTTAGCCATAATAAAAAAAATTCAATGTTTTGACTTGAGGAACATGTGTTCCAAATTACATGGTTTTATGACAATTTTGACCTCGAACCCCTCCCATAGGCATTTTTAAATGGCTGTTGTAGGTGGCGCTATAGAGCCAATTTCAAAATTTTTTAACTTTCAAAGGACCTAGGCCAAGAGTTGAACCATGGATTCAAGTTTTGTGCAAATGAGACTTTGTTTGTGCAAATAGAAACAATTTTTCTATTGTCAAAAACTGAAAAAAAATACGCCACTTTTTGGCGCTCTGCTGCTCGAACAACGTTTCACTGATCAAAATTCCCTGAAGTCATTTTGTTGGTACATATATTGATATGATGTGGAGCGATTTTGAGGCGAATCGGTGAAACGGCCGAGGCTGGTTTGATGTTTGTGTGAGGTGTACATTTGCAATGAATGGGGAGCGTTTCTCGTCGCCACGGCAACAGGGTAAAAAATAAGCCTTGGACCCTATTGACTTTTTGAATCAAGAGGGCAAAACAGATTTATGTGCAAAATTTCAAACATTTTGAAAAAACTAAATTTGAAAATGCCCATCTAAAACTTTGAAATAGTCTGTAGGGGGCGCTAATGTGTCAATGTGAATTTATTCACCTTCAAACGACCTAGACCCTAGAGTTGAACAATGTATTAAAGTTTTGTGCAAATCAGACTTTGTTTGTGCAAACGGGAGCAAATTTAATGTTGTCAAAAACGGCCGAAAAAATGTCACATTTTGCCGCTCCGCTGCTCAAACAATGTTTCACTGATCAAAAATCCCTGAGGTCATTTTGAAGGTACATGTGTTGAGATGATGTGGAGCGATTTTGAGGCGAATCGGTGAAACGGCCGAGGAGGAGTCGCTTTCCAACCGACATGTATGAAAATGATTGCAGCAGATCATTTTTCCATTTTGCAGTGAAATTTATGGGCTTCCTGTTTGTCAGGGGACGGGGCCATAATAATATTTTTTTCTTGTCTTGACTTGAGGAACATGTGTACCAAATCTCTCATGTTTTTTGGCTGTTGTAGGTGGCGACAAACTTACCTCCGAAAGGGGGTCAAATCTCAAAGTGCAGAAGAAAAAAGGGGTAAATAAATAAATAAAAAAGGAATTTTTTTGTGACTTGTCTCGAGCAAAAACAATATAGGTTTCAATGGCATGTGATTCATCATTTTAAAGCCTTTTGAGTTTACGCACGCAACTGTCACGTTTTGGTGAGTGACGGGCGCTGGCGCGTCCGTCACGCACCGTTTTCACATTGTGAAAGCATAGGCCTTACACGTTCGGGGCTCGGGCCTAATTAAATACATAAGGAATTTTTTTCGACGTCTCTCGAGCACAAAAACAATATAGGTTTCAATGGCACGTGAAGCTTTTGAATAGCCACGCAACCGTCACGTTTTGGTGAGTGACGGGCTGACGCGTCCGTCACGCACCGCCACCATTTGTTTTCACCATTGTGAAAGCAATAGGCCCTTACCCCGTTCGGGGAATTTTTTTTTTAACGTCTGGCCTATAGGTTTCAATGGCATGTTGAATACATCATTTTAATGCTTTGAGTTTACGCACGGCAACTGTCACATTTTGGAGAGCTGACGGGCGCTGACGCGTCCGTCACGCACCGCCACCATTTGTTTTCACCATTGTGAAAGCAATAGGCCCATACCCGTTTCCCTAATAAATAAATATAAAGGCCGACGTTCTCGAGCAAAAACAATATAGGTTCATGGCACGTGATACATCATTTTAAAGTGTTCGAGTTTACGCACGCAACCGTCACGTTTTGGTGAGTGACGGGCGCTGACGCGTCCGTCACGCACCGCCACCATTTGTTTTCACCATTGTGAAAGCAATAGGCCCTTACCCCGTTCGGGGCTCGGGCCTAATAAAAAGAATTTTTTTTTCGACGTCTCGAGCAAAAAACAATATAGCCAATGCAAGTGTGTAGGTGGCGCTATTAGAGCTAATTTCAAAATTTTAACTTTTGGCCCGCGGCGCACGCCGTCCGTCACGCACGCCCACCATTTGTTTTCACCATTGTGGAAAGCAATAGCCGCCTGGGCCACGCAAAGCCGTCAAACGCACCTCGCCGCACCCCGCACCGGCGCGCTCCACCCGTTCCACGCCGCACCACCACGCCGCCCCGCACCAAGCCGCAACGCGCCGCTCCACAACGCCCCGCACTACGCCGCACCACACCGTACCACGCAGCACCGCTAAAAGGAGGTGGCACCGCCGTGTGATGATTTGTTTCCGTAGCCATAGAAGAATGTTAGTCAAATTGTAATGAATATGATAAGTAGAGCTGGTTTGGCTTTAAACTTTGACACAGTCTGTAGTTTCCAATATTTCACTTTAACCTGACCTAAACCCTGGAATTGAACAATGGATTAAAGTTTTGTGCAAATCAGACTTTGTTTGTGCAAACAGGAGCAAAATTAATGTTGTCAAAAAGAGCCAAAAAAAACCCTCACATTTTGCCGCTCCGCTGCTCAAACAACGTTTCACGGATCAAAATTCCCTGAAGTCATTTTGAAGGTACATGTGTTGAGATGATGTGGAGCGATTTTGAGGCGAATCGGTGAAACGGCCGAGGCTGGTTTGATGTTTGTGTGAGGTGTACATTTGCACTGAAAGGGGAGCGTTTGTCGTCGCCATGGCAACAGGGTAAAAGATAAGCCTTGGACCCTATTGACTTTTTGAATCAAGAGGGCAAAACAGATGTATGTGCAAAATTTCAAACATTTTGAAAAAACTAAATTTGAAAATGCCCATCTAAAACTTTGAAATAGTCTGTAGGGGGCGCTAATGTGTCAATTTGAATTAATTCACTTTCAAATGACCTAGACCCTAGAGTTGAACAATGTATTAAAGTTTTGTGCAAATCAGACTTTGTTTGTGCAAACGGGAGCAAATTTAATGTTGTCAAAAACGGCCAAAAAAAGGTCACATTTTGCCGCTCCGCTGCTCAAACAATGTTTCACTGATCAAAAATCCCTGAGGTCATTTTGAAGGTACATGTGTTGAGATGATGTGGAGCGATTTTGAGGTGAATCGGTGAAACGGCCAAGGAGGAGTCGCTTTCCAACCGACATGTATGAAAACTTTTGCTGTTCATTTTTCCATTTTGCAGTGAAATTTATGGGCTTCCTGTTTGTCAGAGGGCGGGGCCATAATAATATTTTTTTCTTGTCTTGACTTGACAAACATGTGTACCAAATTTCATGACTCTATGACAAACTTGATCTCCAAAACTCCCATAGGGGTATTATTTTGGCTGTTGTAGGTGGCGCTGTTCCGTCATTTTTTGAGTCCCATAAAAATAAACACCAAAATATCAAATTTTTCGCCAGGTCTGATTTTTGGGCCAAAATTAACAACTTTTCATGCATGTTCAGGGGGTCAAATTAAGGCTCAAAGTGCAGAAGAAAAAAGAAAGAAAGAAAGAAAAAGAAATAAATTAAAGCCGCAAGCGGCGTCGAACGGCCCTCGCCACACCGCGCGACACCCCGCACCACGCGCCTTGCCGCTCCGCTACGACTCCCCGCTCCGCTACGACTCCCCGCTCCGCTACGACTCCCCGCTCCGCTACGACTCCCCACTCCGCTACGACTCCCTGCACCGCGCTCCGCTACGACTCCCCGCACTGCGCTCCGCTACGACTCCCCGCACTGCGCACCGCTACAACTCCCCGCACCGCTACGACTCCCCGCACCGCTACGACTCCCCGCACCGCTACGACTCCCCGCACCGCGCGCCACTACGACTCCCCACTCCGCTACAACTCCCCGCTCCGCTACGACTCCCTGCACCGCGCGCTTCTACGACTCTCCGTTCCGCTACAACTCCCCGCACCGCTACGACTCTCCGCAGCGCTACGACTCCCCGCAGCACTACGACTCCCCGCACCGCTACGATTCCCCGTACCGCGCAACTCACTGCAACTCGCCGCAACCCGCAATTCCCCTCCCGTGACTCCCCGCGTGACTCTCCGCTCCGCAGGTGGCGCCGCCGCGCCGCGCCATGATTTGCTACCATAGCCATAGACCAATGTATGTGATATTGATCCGTTGGTTTGGCTCCCCATGTAAAGCTTTAGCTCGGTATGTAGGGGGCGCTAAAGAGCCAATGTAATATTTTACACCTTCAGGTGACCCAGGCCCAGGAGTAGAACAACCGGGTCAAGTTTAGTACAAATCAAACTTTGTTTGTGCAAACGAGAGCTATTTTTCTATCGTCAAAAAAGGTCACTATTTGCCGCTCCACTGCTCGAACATCGTTTCCCTGATAAAAATTCCCTGAAGTCATTTTGAAGGTAAATGTGTAGAAATGATGTGGAGCAATTTTCAGGCAAATCTGTGAAACGGCCGAGGAGGAGTCGCTTCCCAAACGACATGTGTGAAAATTATTGCTGTTCGTTTATCCATTTTACAGTGAAATTTATGGGCTCCCTGTCTGTCAGAGGGCGGGGCCATAATAACATTTTTTTCATGTCTTACCTTGAGGAATATGTGTACCAAATTTCATGGCTCTACGGCAAACTTGAACTCCAAAACTCTCATAGGAGTATTAAATTGGCTGTTGTAGGGGGCGCTGTTCTGGCATTTTAATTATTTCACTTTCAAATGACCTACACCCTAGAGTTTAACCATGAAAACAAGTTTTGTGCAAATCGGACTTTGTTTGAGTAAACGGAAGTAATTTTTCTATAGTCAAAAACTAAAAAAAAAAACGCCACTTTTTGGCGCTTCGCTGCTCAAACAACGTTTCACTGATCAAAAATCGCTGAAATCAAAATGATGGTACATGTGTTTAGACGATGTGGAGCGATTTTAAGGCAAATCAGTGAAAAGGCCGAGGAGGAGTCGCTTTCCAACCAACATGTGTGAAAATGACATTCTGTAGGGGGCGCTAATGCCTCAATTTGATGTTTTACACTTTCAGTTTACCCAAACCCAAAAGTTGAACAACCAATTCAAATTTGGTGCAAATCGGACTTTGTATGTGCAAATGGTGGCTTTATTAGACTACAATTGCGCCCCCTACAACTTCAAATTTGAAGTCTCTTACTAGGGAACACAAAATTAATAAAGTGTTTGCAAGAACAGAACTTGTGGCAAAATTTTGTAAGTTTTCGTGCATGTTCAGTGGGTCAAATATGACATCAAACAACAGCAAACTTGTTCTTTCCCAGGTTTTCCTGGGCTAGAACAAGTATAATTAAAGCCGCAAGCGGCGTCGAACGGCCCTCGCCGCACCGCGCGACTCCCCCGCACGCGCGCACCACCCCGTGACAAGCCACCCCGCACCACGCTGCCCTGCACCACGCCGTCCCCCATCACGCCGCCCCGCACCAAGCCACAACGCGCCGCTCCACAACGCCCCGCACTAAGCCGCACCAAACCGTACCACGCAGCACCGCTCAAAGGAGGTGGCGCCGCCGTGTGATGATTTGTTTCCGTAGCCACAGAAGATTGTTAGTCAAATTGTAATGAATATGATAAGTAGAGCTGGTTTGGCTCCCCATGTAAATTTTGACTCAGTCTGTAGGGGGCGCTAATGGGCCAATTTAAAATATTTCACTTTCACCTGACCTAAAAACTGGAGTTGAACAATGTATTAAAGTTTTGTGCAAATCAGACTTTGTTTGTGCAAACGGGAAAAAAATTAATGTAGTCAAAAACGGCAGAAAAAAACTTTCCATTTTGCCGCTCCGCTGCTCAAACAACGTTTCACTGATCACAATTCCCTGAAGTCATTTTGAAGATAAATGTGTTGAGATAATTTGGAGCAATTTTGAGGCCAATCGGTGAAACGGTCGAGGAGGAGTCGCTTTCCAACCGACGTGTAAGAAAATGCTTGGTTTTCATTTTTCCATTTTGCAATGAAATTTATGGGCTTCCTGTTTGTCAGAGGGCTTAGCCATAATAACATTTTTTCCATGTCTTGACTTGAGGAATATGTGTACCAAATTACATGGCTCTACGACAATTTTGACCTCAAACCCCTCCCATAAGCATTTTTAAATTGGCTGTTGTAGATGGCGCTATAGAGCCAATTTCAAAATTTTTACTTTCAAATGACCTAGACCCAAGAGTTGAACCATGGATTCAAGTTTTGTGCAAATCAGACTTTGTTTGTGCAAACGGAAGCAAATTTTCTATTGTCAAAAACTGAAAAAAATTACGCCACTTTTTGGCGCTCTGCTGCTCGAACAACGTTTCACTGATCAAATTTCCCTGAAGTCATTTTGATGGTACATATGTTGAGATGATGTGGAGCGATTTTGAGGCGAATCGGTGAAACGGCCAAGGCTGGTTTGATGTTTGTGTGAGGTGTACATTTGCAATGAATGGGGAGCGTTTGTCGTCGCCACGGCAACAGGGTAAAAAATAAGTCTTGGACCCTATTGACTTTTTGAATCAAGAGGGAAAAACAGATTTATGCACAAAATTTCAAACATTTTGAAAAAACTAAATTTGAAAATGCCCATCTAAAATTTTGAAATAGTCTGTAGGGGGCGCTAATGTGTCAATTTGAATACATTCACTTTCAAATTACCTAGACCCTAGAGTTGAACAATGTATTAAAGTTTTGTGCAAATCAGAGTTTGTTTGTGCAAACGGGAGCAAATTTAATGTTGTCAAAAACGGCCAAAAAAGGTCACATTTTGCGGCTCCGCTGCTCAAACAATGTTTCACTGATCAAAAATCCCTGAGGTCATTTTGAAGGTACATGTGTTGAGATGATGTGGAGCGATTTTGAGGCGAATCGGTGAAACGGCCGAGGAGGAGTCGCTTTCCAACCGTCATGTATGAAAACTTTTGCTGTTCATTTTTCCATTTTGCAGTGAAATTTATGGGCTTCCTGTTTGTCAGGGGGCGGGGCCATAATAATATTTTTTTCTTGTCTTGACTTGAGGAACATGTGTACCAAATCTCATGTTTCTACGACAAACTTGACCTCCGAAAAGTCCCATAGGGGTATTATTTTGGCTGTTGTAGGTGGCGCTGTTCTGTCATTTTTTGAGTCCCATAAAAATAAACACCAAAATATCAAATTTTTCGCCAGGTCTGATTTTTGGGCCAAAATTAACAACTTTTCATGCATGTTCAGGGGGTCAAATTAAGGCTCAAAGTGCAGAAGAAAAAAGAAAGAAAGAAATAAAAAAGGAATTTTTTTTTTAACGTCTCGAGCAAAAACAATATAGGTTTCAATGGCATGTGATACATCATTTTAAAGCGTTTGAGTTTACGCACGCAACTGTCACGTTTTGGTGAGTGACGGGCGCTGACGCGTCCGTCACGCACCGCCACCATTTGTTTTCACCATTGTGAAAGCAATAGGCCCTTACCCCGTTCGGGGCTCGGGCCTAATAAATAAAAAAGGAATTTTTTTTTCGACGTCTCGAGCAAAAACAATATAGGTTTCAATGGCACCTGATACATCATTTTAAAGCTTTTGAGTTTACGCACGCAACTGTCACGTTTTGGTGAGTGACGGGCGCTGACGCGTCCGTCACGCACCGCCACCATTTGTTTTCACCATTGTGAAAGCAATAGGCCCTTACCCCGTTCGGGGCTCGGGCCTAATAAAAAAGGAATTTTTTTGTTAACGTCTCGAGCAAAAACAATATAGGTTTCAATGGCATGTGATACATCATTTTAAAGCTTTTGAGTTTACGCACGCAACTGTCACATTTTGGTGAGTGACGGGCGCTGACGCGTCCGTCACGCACCGCCACCATTTGTTTTCACCATTGTGAAAGCAATAGGCCCTTACCCCGTTCGGGGCTCGGGCCTAAAAAAGGAATTTTTTTTTCGACGTCTCGAGCAAAAACAATATAGGTTTCAATGGCACGTGATACATAATTTTAAAGCTTTTGAGTTTACGCACGCAACCGTCACGTTTTGGTGAGTGACGGGCGCTGACGCGTCCGTCACGCACCGCCACCATTTGTTTTCACCATTGTGAAAGCAATAGGCCCTTACCCCGTTCGGGGCTCGGGCCTAATAAATAAAAAAGGAATTTTTTTTTCGACGTCTCGAGCAAAAACAATATAGGTTTCAATGGCACGTGATACATCATTTTAAAGCTTTTGAGTTTACGCACGCAACCGTCACGTTTTGGCGAGTGACGGGCGCTGACGCGTCCGTCACGCACCGCCACCATTTGTTTTCACCATTGTGAAAGCAATAGGCCCTTACCCCGTTCGGGGCTCGGGCCTAATAAATAAAAAAGGAATTTTTTTTTCGACGTCTCGAGCAAAAACAATATAGGTTTCAATGGCACGTGATACATCATTTTAAAGCTTTTGAGTTTACGCACGCAACCGTCACGTTTTGGTGAGTGACGGGCGCTGACGCGTCCGTCACGCACCGCCACCATTTGTTTTCACCATTGTGAAAGCAATAGGCCCTTACCCCGTTCGGGGCTCGGGCCTAATAAATAAAAAAGGAATTTTTTTTTCGACGTCTCGAGCAAAAACAATATAGGTTTCAATGGCACGTGATACATCATTTTAAAGCTTTTGAGTTTACGCACGCAACCGTCACGTTTTGGCGAGTGACGGGCGCTGACGCGTCCGTCACGCACCGCCACCATTTGTTTTCACCATTGTGAAAGCAATAGGCCCTTACCCCGTTCGGGGCTCGGGCCTAATAAATAAAAAAGGAATTTTTTGTGACTTGTCTCGAGCAAAAACAATATAGGTTTCAATGGCATGTGATACATCATTTTAAAGCGTTTGAGTTTACGCACGCAACTGTCACGTTTTGGTGAGTGACGGGCGCTGACGCGTCCGTCACGCACCGCCACCATTTGTTTTCACCATTGTGAAAGCAATAGGCCCTTACCCCGTTCGGGGCTCCGGGCCTAATAAAAAAGGAATTTTTTTTTCGACGTCTCGAGCAAAAACAATATAGGTTTCAATGGCACATGATACATCATTTTAAAGCTTTTGAGTTTACGCACGCAACCGTCACGTTTTGGTGAGTGACGGGCGCTGACGCGTCCGTCACGCACCGC